TTCCTCCTGCCCCAGGCTGGGCTAGGGGTCAGGGACTGAGCTCCACGGAGCCAGATGGCCGGGCTGCTCCCTGATGCCAGCGGAGGGGCAAGGTCCATTGCTCCCCCTCCGTCCCCCCGGCACCAGAGAGGGGCAGCCAGGGAACGTGGGCATGAGCTGCTGCATGTGAACAGCCAACACGACAAGGGTGAGGTCCCAAGGGTGCAGGGGGCTACTGCAGGGGCAGCGCTAGGGCAGAGGACATGCTGGGGGCAGCAGTAGGGCAGTGGGTACCACTGAGGCCACGACTCTCTCTGCTCCCCTCTCTCGGGCCATCGACCGGACTAGAATACTGCAGGTCGGGATTGAGGGGCACTAGCGGCGCTGTGTGCGGGGTGCCCAGATGCCCCTCCCGGCACTGCCCAGGGTGCCCAGCTGTGGAGCACAGAGGCCCAGGCAATGGGGCAGGAATGCGTGCCCGGCGGAGCACAGAGCCCTGGACGCTTTCCTGCTTGGCAGCACCCAGCTGGCACCTGGCCCCACACAGTGCTCAGGCCTGGGGGAGGCTTTGCCGTTTCACGTGCACTTGGAGATTCACAGCCCAGCCCCGACACACGGGGACCAGCCCTGGCACCTGCCACAGGATCTTGCCACAGAGCAGGCCCGAGCCAGTGCCGTACCCTGCCCTGGGGCACCTGCCTTCTCCCACACTGCATACACCCGCCTGCCACCCGAGCACTGTACCGGGAACCGGGAGTCCTGGCTTTGGAAGGGGAAAGGGGCTCCAGTGATTAGCTGGGAAGCAGGACTCCTGGGTTCTTTGCCCTGGGCAAGTCAGTTTGCTGCTCCTTGCCTCAGTTTCCCCAGCAGCAAGGTTACAGCCTCACTCCCTGCCTCAGTTTCCCCAGAAGCAAGGTCATGTTACTCCCCACCAGTTTCTCCAGCAGTGAGATCACATCCCCTCTCCCTACCTCAGGTTCCCCAGCAGTGAGAATGATGCTGAGCAAATTACAGTCTATGGGGCACAGTTGGGGTTGGTGTCAGAGGGGCAGGGAGGAGCCCTGCTGTGTCCTGAGACTGCTCCCTGCTGCCAGGGGTCAGCGCTAACTCGGGGGGAGAACAGCCCCTACTTCCCCACCCAGCCGGCTGCCGCACCCTCTGTTCAGGTTTCTCAGCCGCACACTGGCAGGCCCAAGCTGGCTTGGCATGAGGGCACAAGCCTGGGAACAACCCAGCCCTGCCCTGCCAGGAAAGTCAGTTTCCCACAGCTCATCCTTCGCCCTCTGCCCCCCTTCGGGCGCCCATGGGAACGGTGCAGTAAATAGCTCAGCCAGGATGGGTGATTCTGCCTCACTCCGGTTTGCCTCACATGCTCGGAGCTGGCAGGAGCCCAGAGCGGGGTCAGGGCATGCACCTGCCACCCGGGATGCAGCTACACAGCTCTGGCCCATGCCAGGGATGGGAGCGGGGGCAGGGAGACCCTGGGCAAACCGGAGTTTAGAACCCAGGAATCCTGACCGCCAAACCCCGACCCCCCCCAACCACCAGAGCCCACTCCCCACCCAGAGCTAGGCAAAGAACCTGGCAATCCTGGTTCCTAATCCCTGGGCTGGGAGTCAGGACTCCTGGATTCTCACTGGCTCATCCACTGACTTGCCATGTGAGCCTGCCCCCCCGTGACTTGGTCTCCCCCTGCGCAGTGGGGCCAGTGCCCCAGCGTTCAGCTGGCTGGAGCAGCAGGAAACAGCATTCTTGTTATTTTCAATGGTTCAGAGTCCATCCCACACCAGCAGGCCCGGAGAGCCCTGCAACCCAGCCCAGCGCGTGCCATGCATGCCCCGTGATCCATCATGCGCAGGCCACGCTGCCTCCACATCCTCTTCATGAGACACGGGCCTCGCCCCGTCTTGGGAAAGAAGGGAAGGGTTCTGTGGAAGTCAGTGGATGAGCCAACTAGAACCCAGGAGTCCTGGCTGCCAGCTCCACCCCTGCTCTAACCACTAGCCACCACTCCCTTTGCAGGGCTGGGATAGAACCCGAGTCCTGGCTCCTAGTGAGCTGTCCACTCTCCTCCCAGGCTGAGGCCCCTGACAGCACTCAGTGCCTTGGCAGGGCCCAGCTCCAGGCTGGGACAGGCTCAGGGCGGAGAGACCCAGGGGATCCCCCCACCCATCTCTAGGCTTCCTCCACTGGGAGCTCTTGGAGCTGTGGCGCTCACTGGCCTGGCAGGGGGAGCCGTGTGGCATCGCGTGGTGGGTTCCGGGGGAGGCAGGTTGGCGGGGGGGTTCTCCTGCACTGGCCATTGGCTAACTCCCAGTTGAGTTGGTCTCACGCCCCAAGATGCCAAAGGGCCCAATCCTGAGAGCAGCAGGACCATGGGATCGCAGGGGCTCGGCCCCTCCCAGGATTGGGCCCCTGGGCCCTGTGCATGGGCTGTGAATTGGCACCATTGTGGTTTGTGGTGCCCGCTCGGCAGTGGGACGCCCCCACTGGGACCGTCACACAAGAGCTGGCGTGTGAACACCATTCCTCCACCGCTCAAGGCTGATCATGGTGCAGCCTGCCTCCCTGTGGCTGGGGGCCAGCTGCCAGCTCCACCCCAGAGCAGGCTGCATCTCCCAGGTGCCAAGGGAACCCTGGATATTTTCTTCTCCATTGCTGAGCTGCTGGCCCCTAGAGGATGGGCAGGTGGATGGCGCGGTACAGCCCCGAGAGACTCCTGCAGAACACGCCTCTGGGCCAGAGCCCCGTGTGACTGCGCCCTTTGGTGTGGGCACCAGGAAATGCTGCAGCAACATCTGTGGAGCCTGCCAGAGCTGGGGGCAGTGGCCAATCCATGTGCTCATTGCCCACTCACCCTGGCAGCCATGTCTCTTCAGTGCTGAGGTCCTGTCCAGTGCCTCATGCCCTGGGTCCAGCAGCACCCCACACCAAGATCTCCATGGCACTGCCACAGCCCTGCCCCTTTTCAGCCCACTGAGATCTGAGCAGGGCCCATTCCTCCCTCCGCTGGGCATTGATCGGCACCAGGTTCCCCTCCCATTGACTTACCCACCTCCCCGAGCCCCCTGGCACCCTTTGGGCAGGTCAGACCTTGCCCCCGCCATGCTCCAGATGGACCCCTCATTCCTGCTGGTTTCTCTCCCTTACCCCTGCCCAACTAGGGGTCTGTACCCCTTCCCTCAGCCCCACTACCAGGCCTGGCTGCCCAGTGCCCCAGCCAGGGACACCAGCGCTTGGGGCCAGGCGCCGCTATCACCAGAAGGGGTTCCCACCCCCTACCCCGTTTTACAGAGCAGACGCCAATGCAGGGTGTGACAAAGTGGAGATTTTCCCTTGTTATGTTGTATGTGAATCTTACAGTTTTGCATGAATGCTGTGTGTGCCTCAGTTTCCCTTTGTATTGCACCAATGTTTAGGTCAGAGGTGGCCAACCTGTGTCAGAAGTTAATATGCGGCTCCTTGTATAGGCACCGACTCTGGGGCTGGAGCTACAGGCGCCAACTTTCCAATGTGTCGGGGGGTGCTCCCTGCTCAATCCCTGGCTCTGCCACAGGCCCTGTCCCCACTCCACCCCTCCCTGCCCCCTCCCTGAGCCTGCTGTGCCCTCACTCCTCTCCCTCCCCCCCAGAGCCTCCTGCAAGCCATGAAACAGCTGAGCGGGAGGTGCGGGGAGGGAGGGGGAGGCGCTGATCGGGAGGCACTGGGAGTGGGGGAGGGGAAGCTGCTGGGGGCTGCTGATGTATTATTGTGGCTCTTTGGCAATGTACATTGGTAAATACTGTCTCCTTCTCAGGCTCAGGTTGGCCACCCCGGTCTAGGTGATGGGAATAAGCGTGTGTGACTTCTGTGGGGGTTGCTCTAACTGCCTGCATGGATGCTATGGCCACCTCTTCGCAACCTGAGACCCAGGAGGGGGATGTGACCAGGTGACTCTTGGCCTGGGAAGTGAGACAAAGGCCGGAGGAGGAGCAGCTGGAAGGAGTCAGTCTCGGCTGGCTTGGGGCACAGGGGGAGCCCTGGCTTTGCGCCCCCCCCCGCCCGATGGACTTGGCCGAAAATCACTGATTTCTGTGCTAACAAGTTCTGTTCTACGCTGTGTTCCTGTCGACTAATAAACCTTCTGTTTTACGCTGGCTGAGAGTCACGTCTGACTGCGGAGTTGGGGTGCAGGGCCCTCTGGCTGCCCCAGGACCCCGCCCGGGCAGACTGGCTGCAGGAAGCACACGGAGGGGCAGGGATGCTGAATGCTCCGGGGTCAGACCCAGGAAGGTGGAAGCTACTTGCCCCGGGCACAGTCTGCTCAGAGAGAGGAGGCTCCCCCAGAGTCCTGCCTGGCTTCGTAGGGAGCAGTTCCAGAGCATCGCCCCGGCGACTCCGTGACACAGGCCCCAATCCCGCCACGCTGGCTTTCCCAGATCTGTGTCTGTGTGTAGGTCCCACAGGGATGGGGGGGTCCTCGGGTGGGAAGGGGGCAGGAGAGAGCCCTCATGGACGTTGCCATGTCCCGGGGGGGGAGACACGGGGGGATGCGAAGCTGCTGGCTCCCAGGCACGGGCGGCGCATGAACCGCGGCTGGGGGAGGCTAGCCCCCAGCCCCGTCCCTTCCACCCGAGGTCACACCCCTTCTGCTACCTGCCAGAGCCCAGAGGGCCCCCCACCGTGGCCACCGGCCCAGTCCCATAGCTAGCCCCCCAGCCCTAAAGGAGCGCCATGAGGGAGGGCGGCGCGCGGCCCCAGCCCCGGAGCATGGGAAGGCGGGCGGTGCGCGGCCCCAGCCCCGGAGTGCTGGGAAGGCGGGCGGCCCCAGCCTCCCAGCTGGAGCGCTGCGGGGCTGGAGCTGGAGGACTGGAGTCACGTGCAGGGAGAGGTCACGGCATGGGGTGGGGCCATGCCTGGCTGTTTGGAGAGGCACAGCCTAAACCTATGCGACCCGCTGCCCATGCTCCCAGGCCCACACTCTGACCGCCCCAGGACCAAGCTGGGAGGAAACTGGGCTACGGTGACTCCAGAGATGGACGCAGGGGCCAGAGTCCTTTTATTCCCCATTGCCGGGCCGGGCCACTGCTACGTCCAGAGCCACGGTAACACCCGCCCCAGAGCGCCCCACAGCCACCACCCGCGGGTCCATGGCCTCCTCGGGCCCATGCGGAGCCACTCTCCTGCCCCACAATGGGCCAGCAGGTGGCCTGACTCGGGCACGGGAGCCCCACTGCTTGGGCTGGCCCAGGGGAGAGGCGGGGTGCCCCGCTGCAGGGCTACAGGTACTTGTAGATGACCCTCTCGGGCACGGTCTGCACTTCCAGCCGGACGGGACACTTGTAGAAGAAGGAGAGCAGCGTCTCGGTGTAGCCCACCAGGAAGTAGAACTTGTAGGGTGGCAGGCGCTGCAGGAAGACGGCGCAGATGACCAGCACGTTGGCGCGGCGCTTCAGCACGATCTCATTGGCCAGGCAGCCGTGGAAGGTGCCGTAGATGAACTTGCGGATGAAGACGTCCTCCACGGTGCGCTCAGCTGCCCCACTCTCCCCGTCCAGGTTACCTGCAGGGCAGACAGGGCAGCAGGGGGTGAGGGGATGGCGCCAGGCACGCATGCCCACAGGGCACCTTTAAGAGACAGTATGAGCAGCACCAGACAGAGCAGGGAGCTGCGTGGGTGTCCAGCCAGGGCACCGCATCAGGATCCAGCCAGGGAACACACATCTCCCTCCGCTCCACTCCCCTCCCCCACACCTGGAGAAGAGCTCAGGGGGGCGGCGGGGAGAACGGCCCATGCCCAGGTTGAAGACCCCCCACCCTCTTTTGTTAAGTCAGAGGGACCACACAACAGGGGGCGCTGTGGGGGGTAGGGCAGGGCACTGGCTGGGAGGAGGCACTCCCAGCTACTCCCTCCCCGGCCTCTCCCAGCAGGAGGCGCTGTGGGGGACGGGGCAGGTGCTGAGAGACGGGGAAGCCCAGGTACTCCCAGGGCAGCGGCTGGCGGGTCACTCACTGGTGTGCAGGGAGAGCCAACCCTTGCGATGGGCGATGTAGTGGGGCGGGTGGGCCTGTTCGTACGTCACCGGCTTGTCTCCTTTCCCGACTCGCACTCGGGCCGCCCGGTTCTGTAAGATAACACCCATGGGTGGGGGGTGAAAAACAACATGGGGGCTACCCCCGCTCGGCAGGGCCAGGAGCGGGGCACACATCTTCCCCTGCTCTATAGGCGTTAATGGCCCAGAAGGGCCGGGGCAGCAGGTATTTCAGAGCGTTTGGCAGTACCTAGGGCCCAGAGCACTGACCCCCTGGTGCTAGCAGGCTGATCCCACTATCCACATGCCCCCTTCCTCGGGACTGGCTACGTGTGGCAGCAGAACGGCATGCAGCCTGTGTGAGAGGCAGCCTGCAGGAAGCTTTAGCCTGAGTGTTCATTTCCCTGCTAGGGGCGCCTCTGGGTCCTGCCCAGTCTGATGCCTCAGAGTGACTCACACTCTCAGCAGGTACCTCAGGGGCGCTGAAGGTGCAGACGCAGCGAAGAACAGGCGCTGCGAGGTGCAGACTACAGAACTAAGCCCAGGAGCCGCTCTTCGACATCGACTCGCTGAGCCTCCAGTCCCCTGCCACCTCTGGACAGGGCAGAATCACCTCATGTCCTAGGGGAAACTGAGGCATGGAGGAGAAAGGACCCACCCCTGGTCATCCAGTGAGTCAGTGGCAAACCTGCCTGTAGAACCCAGGAGTCCTGCCTCCCTGCCCTAACCACACCTGCCACACAGGACTGTTCGGGGGACACAGAGCTGGGGTGGACTCCACAGGAGAGAGCAAAGGCTCCTGGCATAGGCTGCTGGGGTACATGGGGGGTTTCCAAGGCCTCGCCCAGAACTCTATGCCTCTGACCCTGCTGGGGAATGGCTTTGCTGGGTGGGTGAGGCCCTGTTTCACAGGCCCCTCTCCAGCTTTGATTTTGCAGGTTCAGAGGGAGGGACGGCTGTTACTTACCTTACAGCTCCTGGGATTCTTTGAGGGGCTGTCCATGGGATCCCACTGCTGGCACCTGCATCTCACAAGTGCACGAGCCATGTATGCCAGTGCTGGGATCCACACGGACAGACCCTCGCAGCAGCAGCCCGCTGTGCACTTACCTTGTGACACACAGCTGTGGTCTGAATAGCCCGGCTGCAGGAAAGGAGCCACGAGAAAGCGCCCCGGGTCCATGGAGCGGCCTAGCAAAGCAAAGCACAGGGCGTCAGGGAGCAGGGGAGGCGGCGAGTATAACAGACCCCTGGTTGCATGCTGGGGATTGAACGAAGGAGCTGCAGCACCAGAGACACAAACCCCTGGACTGAGCTGCAGGAGTCACATTCGTGGGAGCCGGGAGCCAGCTGCTAGAACAGGGGTGGTCAAATTACGGCCCGGGGGCTGCATCCGGCCCTTCAGACATTTTAATTTGGCCCCCAAGCTCCCGCCAGGGAGCAGGGTCCAGGGCTTGCCCCGCTCCGGCGCTCCAGCCGGGTAGTGGGGTCAGGGGCTTGCCCCGCTCTGTGCATGCTGTGGCTCCGCGCGGCTCCTGGAAGCAGCGGCATGTCCCCACTTCAACTCCCACACGTAGGGGCAGCCAGGGGGCTCCACACGCTGCCCCTGCCCCAAGCGCCGCCTCCAGAGCTCCCATTGGCCAGGAACCACAGCCAACGGGAGCTGCAGGGGTGACACCTGCGGATGGGGCAGTGCGCAGACCCACCTGGCTACGGCTCTGCGTAGGAGCCGGAGGGGGGACATGCCGCTGCTTCCGGGAGCTGCTTGAGGTAAGCGCCACCTGGAGCCTGCACCCCTGAAGCCCTTCCCGCGCCCCAACCCCCTCCCACCCTCTGAACCCCTCAGTCCCAGCCTGGAGCACCCTCCTGCACCTCCAACCCCTCATCCTCAGCCCCACCCCAGACCCTGCACCCTTAACCGGAGCCACACACCCCTTCCGCACCCTAACCCCCTGCCCAGGCCGGAGTCCCCTCCCGCACCCTGGGCTCCTCATTTCTGGCCCCATCCCAGAGTCTGCACCCCCAGCCGGAGCCCTCATCCCCTCCCACACTCCAACCCCCAATTTTGTGAGCATTCATGGCCAGCCATACAATTTCCATATCCAGATGTAGCCCTCAGGCCAAAAAGTTCACACACCCCTGTGCTAGAACCACTGGAGGGAGACGCGCCCAGAGTCAGGCTATTACTGTAACGCCCCGCTGGCCGGCTCCAAAGCTGCGGGCACCTCTGGATCCTGCGCATTCCTCCTGCAAGCCCGGCTCCAGGGACACCCAGCGGGCCATTTCGGTGCTGGGCCAGTGGATATTGATTAAATGTCCCGGAGTTGAGTTGCCAGGGTCGGCATACTGGGCAAGCTGCAGCTGTCGGCACGTCCGCAGGGCTCTGACAGGAGCCGGAGCTGGCTCCTCGGCGGGTACTTGGATTGCCAGCTCTCCGGGGAAAGGGGTTTAATGCCTGTGGGCAGGGGAGGGGAGCGACACCGGGGGGGGGGGGCAGCTGCGTCCCCCTCTCTTGGTCCCACCCAGCCGGGGCACCCCCCCGCCCCGTTGTTTCACACACACCCTGCCCTCTCTGTGCTTGCACAGCCCTTGGTACAACGTACAGCGCCGTGCACATCCCCACGCGCTGGGCGCTGCCCAGCTGAATCAGCCACTAGCCTCGGCTCCGGCCCGTCGCGGTACGTCTGCCTGGCCCAGCGACCCCCGGCCCCACGTGCGCCGGGGGGGACAAGTTCCCGCACTAGGCCCCGCCCCCAGGGGGGCTCAGGCCGCGGCGGCACCTCACCGTCAGGCCCCTTCCCCACAAGGGCGCCGCCATCTTGGAACGTGCCAAGCTCCGCCCACTGAGAGGGGGAGGGGGGAGCCAAACCGAACCAAACTGCACCGGGAAGGGGGCGGGGCCGGGGACGGAGCCGAAGGGGTAACCCCGCCCCCAAGGCCGCCTGCTGCCGGGCGGGGGAGGGGCGTGGGGTGCAGGGTGGGGCCGGCTGGTCTCTGCCCCCCGCATTGCTCCCCTGGGCGGGGGCTCCTCAGCAGCAGGCTCTGGGGGCGCTGGAGCGTCAGCCCCGGGGGGTCCCCTGTGACCTGCTCAACCCTCCCCCGGTGCTGGCACGTGGGGCTCCCAAGAGTTTACACACACAAGTGGGTATTTTGTGTGTTACAGGAGCACCCAGTCGCCCCCACCGAGATCAGGGCCCCTTGTGCCCGGTGCTGCCCAGACCCCGACCGAGATCTGGACCCCGTCGTGGCACGTTGGGGGTATGTGTCCCAGCATCCCTTGCCTGCAGGTTCACAGCTTTGGGGGCTGTTTTACACCATCTTGCCCCCTCGCTCTGCCCCTTGCCCGCCTGCCAGGGAAGAGCTGGGAGCAGATCCCCAAAGCAGGGCCATGCAGGCTGCGGTTAGCAGGGCATGTGCTCAGACCCAGGGGCTCTGATCTCCTCTGGGAGTGAGTTCCGGAGTCCAGCCCAATGTCGTCGTCCCAGTGCCATGTGGCTGCAGCAGGAGTTCACAGGGAGACTCGTCTCGGGTACGCAGGACCTGTCCCACGGGCCCCGGGACTAGCAGGGCAGAGCGTGCCCAGTGGGGTGGCACCAGGGATTTCTCGGGGCTGGTTCCTGAGAGCAGTTGTTGAGCCTGGAGGTGATCAGTGCATGGATTGCTATGTTCAGCTCTGTACCCAGGCCCTGATACCAGGGTGATGGGTGCAGAAAGCCTGTCTTGGTCGCAGATGGGAGTGGGCGTGTCTGTCAGCCTGGGTGGGCGAACATAACCAGCTGAGGGCAGGTGCCCTCTATAGCCCCATGCAGGGGCTGGACCAGCCTCCGCTCCATTTGCAGTGGGGTCGGAGTGGGTCACTGCTGGGCCCTGCACCAGGGAGCACTGTTACAGGTCCGACCCACTCACAGGGCTGAGAAACAGGCTCCAGGCTTTGCCAAACTCGTTAAGGACCGTGCCCTTGTGGGGCCCCGAGATTTCCGTGGGGACTGTGGGTCAGGGCCACGGTGTGTGGCTGGTTGGTTCTGCAAGGGGTTGGAGCCAGGCTCTATGCTTTGTGTGAGTCCCACTTTGGCTAGGGATGGGGACGCCCCACCCACACCCTGGGGCCCCAGCTCACCATGGGTAAGAGTGGCCTGCAGTGAGAGCAGGGCAGGGAGAGGGGTTGCTGTGGGGGGCAGCTAGATCCAGAGTCAGAGGCAGGATTTCCCCACTGCCTCTGCAAACAGGGCAACCCCCATGGTCAGGGCACAGGGCCCATCTCCTGCTATGCCACCCCCTGCAGCAGAGAGGGCTGGCTGGGCCATGGGGCCTGACCCCTACCCTGCCCCCCACATGGCAGGACCCCCGAGAGCAGGGCAGAGGAGCCCATGGGCAGGTAGTGCTGCCTCTGTGTGATCAGCGTGTGAATGGCCCAGGGCCCTGTGCCCACCCAGGTGGCCTGCCCTGGAGCACAGAGGCACACCTGCGAAACCTGGGGCTGGAGGGTCCAGCTTAATGGCAGGAGCAGGCCGGGCAGAGGTAGAAAGGGGGGCAGGGCATAGGGCACTGTAGAGCCGATACCTCTGCAGGGGGAGGGGGAGGGGAATCCTGCCGTCTCTGATTTACAAGTGAGCCAGCTCTGCCTATGTGTGTGGAGGGGTAGGGTTAGGAGTCAGGACTCCTGGGTTCTATCCCCAGCTCTGGGATGGGAGTGGGGTCTAGGGGTTAGAGCAGGGGGGGCAGCATCATCTGGGCATGTTGCACATGGTTAAGTCCCTGCCCTCTCAGGGGCCTCGGGCATGGGTGCCCCTGTGACGTTATTAATATGAACTGGGACCGTATACATCATTGTTGCAACCAAGGTCCTGTAGTGGCACCAAATCTTGTATAAAGGGGGTCAAATAAGGTGTCTAAGACAAGGTTATACTTTGGTTATGATTATGCTGTCTGTATGCATGTATCATTTTTGTATTTAAAGTTATAAGTATTGGCTCTATCCTGTCTATTTCAAACTTGTGCTATGCTTCTTGGGTGACACCCCCAACAAGTTGGTGTCAGCTCTGTCTAGCCTGCTTGATGGCCCATTAAGGACCATCAGCTATACAACTGACCCATTGAGAGGACAGATACACCACGTGACTCAGCAAGGGGCAAGCCTATGGACAGAACTCTAAGGTTTTTCTATGCCACGTGCTGGATAGCTTGTGTTTGGGACAAAGAAAGCAGAGACCACATGGCAAGAGACTATAAAAGGCGGCTGCATCTCCTCCATCTTGTCTTCAGTGCTGCTTCATACCTCTGGAGGAACCTTGCTACAAACGGAAGCTCTGAACAAAGGACTGAATGACCCATCCCAGCTGGGGATGTTCCAGAGACTTGATTTGAACCTGCAGTTTATTCTATCACTGCTACAAGCCTGAACCAAGAACTTGGCCATTACTGTATGGAATTGATTCCATTTCACCAATTCTAGCTCTCATCTATATTTCTTCTTTTATGAATAAACCTTTAGATTTTAGATTCTAAAGCAGGGGTGGGCAAACTACAGCCCACGGACCAGACCCAAAGCCCTGAGGGATCTGGCCCACGTCCCTGTGGCCCCGGGGTAGGGGGAGGTAGAGGGCTCCATGCATTGCCCTTACCTCCAGTCATTGCCCCCCACAGCTCCCATTGGCCGGGAACAGGGAACCGCGCCCAATGGGAGCTTCGGGGGAGGTACCTGGAGGCGTGGCAAGGGCAGCACACACGGAGCCCTCTGCCCTACCTCCCCGAGGGGCCCACCACCCCGGAGCCTAGGGTGACCAGATGTCCCGATTTTAATAGGGACAGTCCTGGTTTTGGGTCTTTTTCTTATATAGGCTCCTATTACCCCCCACCCTTGTCCCGATTTTTCACACTTGCTGTCTGCTCACCCTACCGGAGCCGCTTTAGGTAAGCAGCGCCAGGCCGGAGCTCAAACCCCTCCTGTACCCCACCCCCAAACCCCTGCCCTGAGCCCCCTCCTACACCCCACACCCCTCCTGCACCCCAACCCCCTACCCTGAGCCCCCTCATGCCCCCTGCACCCCAACCCCCTGCCCTGAGCCCCCTCGTAGACCCCACACCCCTCCTGCACCCCAACCCCCTGCCCTGAGCCCTCTCATACACCCTGCACCCCTCCTCTGCCCCAATCTCTTGCCCTGAGCCCCTTCCTGCATACCGCACCCCCTCCTACACCCCACACTCCCTCCCTCACCCCAATCCCCTGCCCCAGCGCTGCATACAATTTCCCCACCCAGATGTGGCCCTCGGCCCAAAAAGTTTGCCCACCCCTGTTCTAAAGGATTGGCAACAGCGTGATTGGTGGGTAAGATCTGACTTGTATATTGACCTGGGTCTGGGGCTTGGTCCTTTGGGATCACGAGAACCTTTTTTCTTTTACTGGGGT